TTGTCTCCCCCTTAATGTTTAAGATAACTAACGTGCACTTTCTTATCTTCAGTACATAACATAGCAGCTAATGAACAGTAGGAAAAAGTAAGTCTTTGCTGAAGAGATGAATGAATCTTTTTTTCTAAAAAAATATATTCAATCTGGTTTTTTTTTTAAAGCTTTACTTATTTATTTGAAGGGCAGTTGCAGCATTGTGGCATGACAGGGAAGCCACCTCCCACAATGCCACCGATTTGAGTCTTGGTTGCTTCACTTCCTGTCCAGCTTCCTGCACATGTACCTGGAAAGCAATGGAAGACAGCTCAAATGTTTGGGCTCCTGTTCCCATGTGGGAGACCCAGAAGAAGCCATCTGAGGAGTGTCCTAATGGATGGAAGACCACTCTCTCTCTCTTTCTATCATTTCTGCTTCCTCCTCTCAACTGCCTGTCAAATAAAAAATATATATATCTATGTGAGAATGTGTGTGTGAGAGAGAGAAATAAGAAATATAAATCTTATATTTCTAAAAGGCCTTGGCCAAGGCTGGGCCCAAAGCTAAGAACTATGTGGGTGGCAGGAGCCTAAGCACTTGAGTTATCTGGTTATCCATTGCTGCTTTCCCAATCACATTACCAGGGAACTGTATCAGAAGTAGAGCAGCTGGGACTGCTATGGTATACTGGCATCATAAGTGGTGGCTTAATCCACTGTGTCACAACACATGCCCAAGAATAATTATTGTTATGCATAAGATACTATGGAATTCAGAGAAAATATGTCTCCAGCTATTTTTCATTTTTTGCTTGTCCCTTAACATGAAAAATTTTGCTTGTCATGCAATCAAATCTTTTGTCTGATTGTCTGTTCTTACTGTCAAAATGAACAAGGCTCAAGACTAAGTATTGCTTAGCTCCTACATTTTGAAATGTCTATATTTTAATGAAAATTTAACTTGAATATGTTTCAGCTGATGAGAACTCTTTCTGGGAAAGCTTAACTAGCTGACCCAACACATTTGCTAACCATTCCATCTTTGCCAATTGCCCTGAGATTACGCCTCACACTGATACTCATACCTTGGATGTGGGCAAAAACAATTTATTACATTTTCTGTTACATGACATTGCTGTTATGTTCTTGCAAAACTCCATATTCTTTTAATTATTGGAACTTAAAATGGGTTTTAATGTCTGGCAGGGCAAGGTCCTCTCATTTTTCAAAATCAAGGTCCCTATTTTAGCACCTTTCCTTTCCAGATGAACTTCTGTAAAGTTTCCCCTAAACATTTTGTTGTTATTGTGATTGGCACTGTGTTAAGTTTATTCACTAATCGACATCTTTACAATATTAAATCTTCCCACCTCTCCTCCAGCTGGAAGTATTTTGTCCTTCCTCTGAACTCCCTCAGCACTTTATACCTTTTAAAAAATCACTTTCTAAGCTATACCCACCCAATTTTTCAACTATGAAACCTGAGCATTGTCCCTTCCCCTCCCCTCCCAACCTTCACCCCATCCAATCAATCATCAAGTCCCGTCAATGCTACCTCCTAAATTTCAACTACTTCTGCCTGTCCCTGTTGCTGACACCGAGGACCAAGCAGCCAGCACTCATGGCCCAGGCCACCACATTGGCCTCTGACTGACCTGACTGCATCCAACCCGGCTTCTAAGCCAGTCTCTTCGATGCAGAAAAACCTCATAAAAGGTGAGTCTGACTATGGCAATATTCTCCCACAGCTCTCCAGGACACCTGTGGGGTGGGGAAATAAAAGAAACGCCTTGATGAGATTGGACCCTGCCCTCCCTCCAGCTGGATCCCAACCTCTATTTTATCCATCTTTCACAAACATGTTCCACGTTCTTTCTCACCCCAGGGTCTTTGTACACAGTTTTCCTACTTGGACTTTTTAGGTCTTTCCTATAACCTTAAATTATTAATTTCATTTCTCCTAGCATATATTCTCAGCTCCTTTGTAGTACTCATCACATTTTCAATTCCTTAGTCAAGTCAGTTTCCATGGTATATTATTGCCAATAATATTAATGATAAACATCTTTTGGATAAGATATGTCATTCTCTACTTATGCTTTGTCCCAAGTGCTTTACTTGGAGAGGGGCACTAGACTGGGCTTTATCCATTTACAAGAGCAGGTGGTTAAATTACTAGGAATGTTGTGACCTGGTCCAAGTCACACTGGTTGCTTGAACTGAGACATGGTGAGAATATCTATACCACAAACATCAGCAGGTGCTACAACAATGCTCTTGTTTAATCTTCCTTTTCCTGGAGAGCTGGTGGATTACTAAACCTGTACCAGTCCACCACTGTTCCCAAACACCACATCCATTTGGTTCTCACTTTACCTTAACAAGACAGGTAGCCCATTTTTAACAGAAAAAAAAAACAGTAAGGGACAAATCAAGCTGTGAGTCTGGGCAGTTTGACTTCAGAATAGAAAAAGTTCACCTTTACATCATTACACCCTGTGGGCCAGGAGGGCTGATGAGCTGTCCCTGAGAGCACTAACACGTGGCACAATGTGCACATTCAGTGAATACATGCTGCACAGTAGAGTCATGATATCACTGCATGATGCCTCAGGGCAGCAGGAAAGAGGCATTCGCTAACGCTGACATGTAGCCATGTTAAGTAACATCTGCTCTTTTCAGGGTTACATGGGTGCTGCTCTTCTAATGAGCAGTTTCCAAGAACAGACCACAGATTCCTTCCCTTGGTTTCATCAGGTGTTGCTTTACATTCCCTGATTCTTGCCTGTTAGTCACTCCCTGTTACTCTTCCACCCTTTTTTGTCTCTACATATCTTAGGGGACTTACCCTAATAATTGTCATGGAGAAGTAGCTACCTTGCTTCCAGACTGATAAAGCGGTTACTGGTTATCAGCGCTGGTCTTGAACCTAATTTGGGGCACATATTTACTTACTGAATAGATAGATTACATTGCTACCTGGGTTCTGCTATTTTGCAAGGTTTCTAACTGGTCTGGGTCTAGCCTAGGCACTGGTGACTTGAAGTCCAGCCTGTGTGAGAATCTGCTTTAAGAAGACATGCATAGCTGTGCACACACACATGCACTCACTATCCATCACTTTCAATGTCCATAGCCCTGCTGACCACAGAGATCCTTCTTTACTTCTGTAGAGTATGGGATTGGTTCTAACATGCTTGCCATTATATCTACTATGTCCTCATGCTTGCCATTATATCTCCTAAGTCATCATGGGCTAGACCCATCCTCTGCATCCAATGGGTATCTTTAAAACACCAGAAATGCCAGATGCCTCCTATGGGGAAAATGCCTTGAACTCAACTGCTCCTGAGTCATCCTCCATCATCCTGGGTCCCATAGGTGTGTGGTGCTCCTAAGCCATCATCCTTAGCTCCCATCCCTTCCACAGCAAGCTCATCCAGCCCCGAGATTCGAGCTTGTCAAGATGCTGACTGCACCCTGGCACAGCAGTATCGAGATCTTCCCACACGAAGCCCTTTCCCACCGTCTTTCCTGTGACTCCCCTCTCCCACACAGGCTCCCTCCCACCTCTTGGCCTGTCATCCTGTTGTGTTCTGTCTCTAGCCCAGTCTCCCACAGACTCATCGACTGCCAGTCCGTGTTGCAGTGATCATCAGTGAACCAAACAGAACACACAGTCCTGAGGAGGCAAGGCAGTGTGAACAGGGAGGAGAGGGGCAGTGGAGAGAGACGGAGGGAGCAGGACTCTATAGTTAACCCCTTCCTGTGATAAAGGTCTCTGCTCAATGCTCAGTGCTCAATGCTCCTTCCTCAGAGAAGCCTCCCTCAGCATTCTAAGCCAAGACCTTCCCCACTCCTCCCCACCACCCATCTCTCATTCTCTGCAATTAAATCATTTGTTTTATTTGTCTCTTCTATTCCACATGGGGGACTCTGCCTCATTAATTTCTATGATTCAGAGGCTAGAGTTGCACCCACCCAATGTGTGCATGTAATAAACACTACTTTAAACTCATGGATGTGCCTCTTTGAGAGTTATTGCAGAAGTGTTTTTTAATGTCACAACAGAATCTTCCATAGACTCACAAAAGGAGTAACACTTGAGATGCATTTATCACAGGAGACAGCATTCAAAGGTAAAATTTTAAACAATTATAGCTGAACATGGCAGTTTTCCATATATTCCTAGTTGATAATTAACCAGACACTTACACACTGAACAGAAGAGGTTGTCTCTCAGTGAGACTAAGATCTGCTGTGTACATTCTACAAAATGCATCACTCTCACTGTTGAACCAGCTTGCATGCTCCTTACACAAGCTCGCCTCAGCCTACCACCTTTGCACATTGGATTCCCACAGTCAGAACATTCTCCTTTCCCTTTGCTCATCCAAGTCTTCCATATCCATCCCATTCTTGACTCCACATCCCATGACTAACTCACACTAAACACTCTCTTCATGAAACCCACATTCGATTCATTGGATACACCAAGAGTTTTGAAAATACAAGTTCTCCAACTCTTCTTTTTCTTCTCCCAGAGTTCCTACCACTTCCAAGGATAGGACCACATCTTTACATGTAACCGGAACCTTCTGCATTAAGAAAGCAGTACATACAAAGTAGACATTCAATAAATGTTGAAATAGATTAATTCTAACCTCATAAAATTTTAAAATAATTTATCACCCTGCTAAATAGCTGGGAAACCTTGGTTTTTAAAGAAAATTTAGATTTAGACCTCTATTTTTTAAATCCAGTTGCTTGAATGAAAGAGGATACTACTGAGTTTCTTATACAGTTAGAAATCTAAGGATATATTCCTGAAATGAATTTTTTCAGATGATACTAAAATTACTTAAATAAAATGCAAATACAGAATTAAGTCAATACCTCCATGTTTAATGTCCCAGGTAGGTAGAAAAACCAAAAAAACTTAGAATAATTGTAAAGTGTAGATACTAGCAAGTAGAATGAAAGTGAACCAGGAGCCATTGTCTCCTGGAACATGTTCTCACCTACCTGTGTAAATGAACCTTCCTGGAGCTCCCTTGCAGAACTGCTTGGATTTGTAAGATAATGTCACTTCCACCACTCCAGGGATATGTCGAGGAGGAGTCTGTACTCGGATAGCATGAGGGGTTATTAGCTGAGGAGAGAATCGGAAAGGAAATAAGATGCCTGTTGGACAAGCCATCACCAGGGACACTGCTGACAGCCTTACATATTGATTTAACAATCTTCATGCCCAACATAGTACTGTCACTGATCTTTTCATAACACATTTCATTGTTTTATTGTGAAAGTAAAATATACTCAATTTGGAAATCACCGAACAATAGTAACAATATGTAACCCAAATAAACCAATATTAATATTTAGCATTTCTGATATTTTTCTATGAATGTTACAGAATTAATTTTGCAAGGCATAAATACTGCTGTCCTGACTTTTTTTCTACTTACCATTATAATGTACACATATCACCTTTCCTGTATCATTAGAAATTTTTTCAAAACATGATTTTCAAAAAAGGAATTATATTTCATCACATATTTTTCTAGTCTCTTATATCCAAATTCTATTTTACTTCTAATATTTTGACATTTAAAATACTTCCACAATAAATATTGTGTTTTTGTTAAGGAATCTATCCCCTCAATTATCACGGGTTCCATGTCTTTATACGCTTGGTGTCTCTTTTCTAGAAGATACTCAGCAATGTGTGTTAATGCTAGCAATACTCGGTGAATTACTAGATTTCCTAAAATCAAAACAACCTTTGCACCAAATGAAATCTGGGAAATAAGTTGATTTTTGCCTACCTCACTCCATACAAGCATGGTTCCAAACACTACTTGGAGGCCATCAAAAAAGTTGTCCCCGATAATGATGACCATGGCTCCTCCTGTGGTCCAGCCTTCACTTGGGCTAATGGCTTTGATGCAGGGAGTGGCTAAAGAGACAAGAGAAAAAATCAGCTCTGCCCTTTGGTGGTCGAAATGTGCAGTTTTTGGAGACAGTGTTGGTCATTCCAAGAAATTCAATTTGAGCTTTGTTCATTTGCCATCCTTCCCAAACTGTCTGTTGATTTATTTTTTTCCAGATCACTAAGGCTTAATTAATTGATCAGTGTATGAAAAAGTGAAACATTGAGCTAACCATGCAAAGGATATTTTTTAAACTGTTATTTTTTTGTCTATATTTTTATAAGCTGATCACTAGAAATGTGTAAATCCTTTTTTCCCTGCCTCCTTTGACCCAAGATGTTAAAATATGCAAGGCTTGTTACTGTGTTAAAGAGAAAAAGAGAAAGCAGAATGTATTGTGGCTGAAAGTAGTTTTTTGTTTTGGTTTTTGGTTTTTGGTTTTTTGTTGTTGTTCCAGCACAATCTAGAGGCAATTTCTAATCGTGCTCCAAACTTTGTAGGTAGAATTTTCCTCCCTTCTTCCATATGTTTGAGGCCTCTGGACTTTACATCCCAACAGGAACCCAATATGGTTTTCAGGCCATAACTAAAGTCAATCCATCACTCCATTTCCAAAGTTGACAGGGTCAAAGGTGGAGGAGAACTTTGGCAGGACTCCAAAAACATGAGCCCCCTTTGAACAGCCAGTCAATCACATCCAATCAGTCAAAAGCAACTGGAGGGGTTCCTAAATTCTGAACTCTGGGATTTTCTTCTCTCCTTTCAGGGCCCACTGTGGGAGAATTAACACCACTCCAAATTCTTTACTGATTCAATCATTTTCTTTCAGTTCATTAATTCCTATTTAAAATGATATAAGATACATTTAAAGGGCCAAGCTGGGTTAGGGGTGGGTGGGCAGAATATAGCAAAACATCGCACTAAAATAGTAGCCTAATTTGGCCACTAATTCATATTATAAGGTCTCCCTAACACCACTAAGTTGAATAGTGCAGAAGGAAGGGGAATAACTGAACTGGAATTTACTTCAATTTGTCAGTTATCTTCCTCAATATGCTTTAATTTTTTGGACAACTTGAAGTTTAACAGTTACTGGTATTTCTAATTACTTTAATGCACTTGGAAAACTACCCAGAACAGCACATGATTTCTTCTTGTCCAAGCAAACAAAAATCAATTAGTGTCAGTTTCATTCTGCACATTGTTTTGTTTTGTCCACAATCTGTTTAAGGGCACATCTGACACTTATTCATACATGTCTGGCACTGTAATGTTCCTGTTTAACTAAGATGTCATAGGCCTACATTTCCCTGAAATGCGTATCTAGCAAAAAAGAAAAACACAGAACTGAATGGAAGTGACTGGGAGACTTGGGGATGGATGCCGAGAGGAGCTTGCAATAGAACAGGCCAGAGTCAGTGTTTACAACTTCATTCAAAAACCCACATGGTTTTGTCTACTTTCTCCATTCTAACTCTAAGACATGAATTTGAAATTAAAATAAGGACATATGTGGGGAGCTTCATCTGTCCACCATGCTCAGCCAAAAGGCTCTACCTTCTGATGGGTCGAGTCTTCTTGCTCTCCGTCCATGCTTGGAGTTATTGTGAACAAACATGTTGTCAGAAACAGCCAGCACATGTCCATCCACATTGACTGTTGTTGACAGCACAACCTACATATTTAAAGTAGAACAGAGAGGGGAGAGCAGGGTTAATTTAACATAAATAGTAAGGGGTCCATGATTCTGTTTTACAGAACTTGAGGATGAGGCATGGTCTCAACAACAACTCAACAGGTTTTCCTGTTCCTTCATTTATGGAAGAATGTTAATGAAGAAGAGACTGCCTTTCACCCATGTGCTGTTATGTATTTGTATTCAAACTATATCCATGTAGTGAAGTGGGGAGATTGGCCATCTGCCTGATGCTTTCAGAAACTTAGTTCTTTCTCAAAGCACTGTGCCATCATTCCCATTTGAGTCCCTCAAGCTGTAGTCACCACAGAAGCTGACGTGATTCTGGAAGATAAGATGTAGACACTGGCTGGAAGGTCACGCCCCAAGCTTGGGGACGGGCTTCTTGCTCATCAGTCAGGCCTTAGAGTCATATCATACATCCAGTCTCTGGCTGACGTGTTATCTGTGACGTTCTCACCCACCAAGAACAAAAGCAGAAGAGCTCAGGCTTGTAAGAAGTAATGAGGTCATTGAGATGCACTGCTCCAAGTGTAAGGTTCTTTAACTGGAGGAAAGGGGTGAGTATGGAGGAGTGGAAGAACAAGTATTTGGAGTCAGAATGAATTTAAATCCAAAGCCTGCTGCTTCCTAACAGATAACCCTGGACAGATTACATAACCTTCAGAATTTGTGTTTCTTATTCGTAAAGCAGACAAAACTGCCTCTCAGTATTGAATGAGATAAAGTGAGATAATAAAAAAAAGCATTCAGTGCAATGCCTGATTTGTGCCAAATTAGGATGAGTTCCTCATTTGCTTCACCCCTGCCAGATTTGACTAGTCAGTCAGAAAGATGACTTACTGAGATTTTTCCATAGTCTGAGCTCTAAGGAAGCTTCTAGAAACAGCTACTTCTCCACTACTTTATGCTTATTTCTGTACACTAATTTTGTTTTGACAAAGGAACATGTTATATACTTATTTCTACATATATATAAACTTCCCACGGAAGAACATTGAAAAGTACATAACAGAGAATTCTATTTAATGGAACTACTCTTACCTATTCCTGAATGAAATTTGATGGCCATCCAACTTTACTGGTGGCCATTCACATTACTCCCTAAGTGAAGGGGGATGGGAGGAGGCTGACCCTCCCTTACATCTTCATATTAAACTCTTAGATGGCACTTCAAGAATTTTTTTTCTTTGAATAATTTCAACCCAACAAAATATCACTATGGATTCACAGTACCTATCACCCAGCATTAAGGACTGTCCAAATATTACTATTGTTATTTTATCTATACTACCACCTACTCCATTTCCCTATTCTGTCATGGTGCTGACCACATATTGAGGGTTTTTCTGTCAAGCAAAATTAATGTGCACTAAAATGCAGAAATTTCAGCTGCACAGTTCAGAATATTTTCATCTCCTCAGAAAGTCATTTTATGTCCCTTACCAATGAATATTAAACCCTGCCTCCTCCACCACCACCTCAAAAGCAACAGTCTCATTTTTTTGTTGTAAACTAGTTTTTGATGGTATCTCTAAAAATCTTTATTTGTTTAGAATGGAATTGATTTGGAAGAATTCATGAAACCCATGGGCCCACAAATCATTTCATATATCCTCACACCATAGGCATGGTGACAGCAAACATGAAATTTTACATGGACATAAAGTTTTAATCATTCAACCCAACAGATATTCATTGAGTTCTTACTACATGTCAGGTACTATGACAGGCTCTGGGGATTCAGTGAGTAAACCTAAAGGAAATTCTGTGGTCATTCAGAAAATTATCATCAGCATAATTGCTCACAATTCAGGGATGCAGCCTGTCTGGCTCTGGGTCTGTTTTCAATTGTGTCCATGTTAATATGTTAGAATCCAAGAAAAGTCCTTCTGGAGAGTTCCTACCATGTGCAAGCATCTCTACAACAGAGACACCCAGCACTCCCTGCAAGGGCACCAAGGCCCAAGTTCTAACACAGGGATCTTAAAAAGCATAAGAGCACATGACAGTTCCAGTGAGAGATTGAACCTCACAGTCACAGGCTTAAGAAGGCGAGGGTTGAAAGTAATCCCCCGTAGTCATGTTTACCCTCTGAAAAGGAGAAAGGCAAGGAAGCAGAGGGCTCAAGTCACTCTGACAAATTATGTGAGTGAATGGATTCTCAAAGACATGGCTGTCATCCCTAGAAAACAAAAACACAGCAAAGTTGTCTGCAGCTTTGCTAGTGAGCTGGACACAGCACAGCGAGGGGACTCTCTGCCCTGACTTGAGGATTACGTGGCTGTACAGAGCATTCTCTCTGCGACCGCTTTAATTCATTCCACAAGCTTCTTGTCATGCTGTCTGTTAACGCTCCTCATGCATTTCTGCCACAAAATATGGGGCTTTCCTGAGCCAGCTGATTTCATCATTGTTCATTTGGGTGGAGTGAGACTTAGTTCCAAAGTGAACATTTCCCGAATGACATACCCTGATGGTTCAGATGCACTTCATTATTTTCTATTAACAATGGAAATAAATTTTAATCTCTTGCTGGCTAGTGCTGGCCTCTCATGACAGCAAGGGAATTAACCTGAATTATTTCAGTGTCTGTAAAATTTATTACAAGATTCTAAATTATGTCCAAATGTATGTGTGTGTGCCTGGATATATAGAGAGATACAAATATGAGGCAAGTTCTAGTTTTTCAAATTCCAAGTATCTTAAACTGCTAGGTCCCTAGAAGAGGCTGCCCATGAAATTAAATTTGGAAAAAATAATGAATTAAATTCACAAAGTCCACAATGCTTTCAGACCCCTTGGGTGGTGGTTTTGATGTGTGGAGACGCACGCTTAAGTACCGAAACTCCCTATGTTCACACCACTTGTATTAAAATGAACCACATTATGGAGGGAAGATGCATTTGAAACAGCTTCTAATTTAACTTCCTTCACTCTTTTCTGCTGAATGATGATAACACTGATATCTTTCTATTCAGAGAAGTTAAACTTTCGGAATGCTTTAAGACTAAAGGAAGTGGAATGTGCATTCCGACATCATCTCCCTCCCAGGCCTTCCCCTTGCACAAGCCAACTTCTTTCCCCTAGTGAGTATTTCCTGGGTCATGAAGGCTGACCCTTTCCATCTGGAATCAATCAGTCAACCCCTGACAACTTCCTGAAACACCTCACTCCATTTCCTGTTCTCTCCCCCTTCTCGCTTTTCCCCTGGTTTGCTTCACTCTTCAAAACTGCAGGCCACAGCAGCTTAATGTTAGAGGGTCAGGCACAGTTAGACTCCAAAACACTACACAAGGACACCTTTGACCTTCAAAAATCTTTACATCTTAGCTAAACAAATCAAGGTCAACATTTCTTACCATTACCTTGTTAACTATTTGTATGCATCTTTGCCAACTGTCTTCTGATCAGGTAACCATCAATATCACTTGTTCTCCAAAGATCATAAACTGATATGCTTTAAAAGTAGTTAATCTAACATGGATAAAAGATGCCATTTGAAGATACCTGAAACTAAAAATCATTGCTATCACAACAAACATGGAAGGTGTTCTATACCAAAGACTCTTGTGTGCCTCATCAACGTCTCCTGTCACCTCAGCATGACACCTCCTATTTTCTAAGGCTCTCAGAATCTCTTGGCACTGCCATTCTGCTGGCACAGTCCTCCAAGAATGCCAATTAGAAACACAGATGTCCATAATTTGCGTGGGACAGGCCCTGGATTTTGCTGCTGACACTAGTGACAACTTCCATTTATTTCTCCTAGTTGATGTAACTATATTTCAGCTCAAAGCTACAGCAGCAGTCAGCAGATCTGTATACAAAGACATTGCAGGTAGCAGCCCTCTTCCATGAACACATTTCAACACAAAAGCAAGTATTTATGATCAGTAGCTGCAAGCCAAGTTTCCAAGAAAGACAACTGTGGGACCAACTGACACTGCTTGCAGTTTTTTTTGTTTGTTTGGTTTGTATTTTTTTTTTAAGTGAAAGCAATTTTTGTGTTTCATCATCCCTTACTTTCTTTTGATATGATATCTTAGGTTTGGGGTAAGCTGGCTCAATAAGCCTAAAAGTGATGAGTGACTGTGGTAGGTTTCATTTCCAATTATACAATAGTGTAAAATATTCAGAAGTAAACAAGAATAAGATGTCTTATTTCCCCTTGAAAATTATGAGGAGAAGTTTTGGAGTAAAATCTACAAACATGTTAGTGGTCTGCTACAATGACCCAAGGAAACTGGTTTTCTCAAATTCTATTTTTCATTCATTGCCCCCAAGTTCTCCCAGTTCCCTTGCTCTAATAATTTATACAAAGAAACAGCTGAGTTGTAAACAGTTCTTTCCTGCTCATAAAAGGCCACTTCAGGATTTACCTGTCAGGTGGACACATCTGTTACTCTCCTGTTCCTTTCACTTCCCAGTAGAGGAGCTGTTTCTTTGGTACCACCATGATAGTGTGTGATGTGACGACAGTTATTAAACAGGTTAATGCTTACCCTTGAGTTATTTTTATGCCTTTTTTTTGGAGCTCTACACATGTGTACATGTGTGTTTAATATTTAGATTTCTCTAAGTTCTAACTGTATGATTTAGTCGAATTACACAGGTCAGAGCAACAGCCGGCTCAAGCCTTCCTTGCAGTTAGCTTGTCTCAGTTCACACCCAGGTATTCCTACAAAGACCCAAAGTTTCATACAAGGAGAGGGAAAAAAAGAATTTCAAATGAAAAATGTGTGGAATGACTAAACGATCTGCTCTTTCAAACAGACAATGTTTTGAGTATATAGTTTCTGGAGAAAAATTTCATCAGCTAAAAACCCCTCCAACACACAGATCAGAGTTTTGCTTTAAAAACATACCAGTTTCTACCACTGGTGAGACATAGGTCCCCACCATTCAATGCAAGTCATGCACCTCCTAGCTGGATGCGGGGCCTTTGGTAGTTCAATCTCAGTAAAGCTATAACATGT